AGTGTGGTTCTCGGTAATCCTTGTTTATAACTGAACCAAGGTCACATTACAAATCAGTTTGTTGTTGACAATGTAAATTTTCACTGCCAACAACATCCCTTAACCATCAGCCAATGCTAGCAAACACTACCCTCATTCCTCCTTCGCCTGTCATGAATACTATCGAGGGGAAGAGGTAGGGCAAAGCTTTAAAATATTAACCTCTTTTAGCTTCTAGCAACTGATCAAGTTTGGCTTTTAGGATGGCAAATCTGGGGTCCATTTTTATTCACCCCAGAGTTGCTGAGAGCTTTGTGTGGACTACAATAGGTGATTAATCTGGCTCCTCATCAGCACATGACTATGTACTTCAAACACTTGAAAACTTTTCCGCAGGAAGCAAATAGCCCACTTTTTCCTAGCAACCAATTACAGGCTTGATGTGGACACCAAAATGGCTTTGCTGACCTTTGAGGATAGGGCTAGTAGAAAATGTAGCTGACATTTAGAGAGAGAAGTAGGTGAAAATTTTGGAGCCATTTTTACGCTTTTGATACAATAAACTTCTCATATACTTACCATACTCAAGTCACTATCTTTTTAATACAGCATACGCTAGATCAGCTCCACAAAACAACTTTGCTGCTGTATGAAGTAACCAAGCAGGAGACTCAAGCTTAGCAAGAGAAAAATAATTTCAAGTAAAAGTTTTCTTGAAGATTTGCTTCCTTCCCTCCCTCCCACCGCATCTCATGTAAACAGTGAAATTCTCAAACATTTTTGGTGATTTATTTTCATGACCAGATTGTATGCAATATTTTTTGTTGATTGGCAATAGGTTGCTTATTTGGGTAAGTCTCATGGTAGTTTCTGTTCTTTCACTAGGTGAGTGACTTACCTCACAAATTCATTTCCTGGTCACCGCAGTGAAGGTTTGCAATGGCCACATTACCACCCCCCCCACACACTGTATCAGAATCACTTCTCTCTCTTCCCCATCCATCCCCTCCTTCCCTTTCCTGTCTTTCATATTCAGAATCACTCTATTTGGTAACACTGCTCTGTGACATGCTTTCACAGCATCTGAAATGAGCTCAGGTTCACAAAAGCTTATGCTATACATCCCCAATGTAGTTCGTCTATAAGGTGTAAATCTACCATGCTTTCTGCCTGACTTAACTAAGCCATGCAGGACAAAGTGCAGCACTGAATGTGCAATTTCATTTTTGCTTTCAGTCTATTTCAAGCTTAATATTTATGTTTATGAGAATCTCTCCCTATAAAGAGTAGTGTTCAAATGTTTGCAGAAAGCAACAATCAGAGCAACAAAAAAAGGCTGAATCAAGATTTGTAAGAGGCAAGGATTCTTGTGGGTGATTTCTTTGATTAGACCACTCCATGGTTGGGATAGACTTAGACAAGCTTTCAAATTAACAGATTCTTCTTCAAATCAAGGTTTGTTTTTTAAGGCTTTGAAACAAAGAGAGACAGTTAGCTGCATTAATCCAAAATTAGACAGTAGGGTGGGGTGGCACCTTATAGAGTATCTGAGAGCCATGAGCTTTCATAAGTTATGTTGCCAAATGCTGTAAATCAACTTGTAGGCTAGGTACAGACATCACACTGTTACTGGTATAAATGATTAGAAACCGATCTATACCTGTAACAGAACAGAAGTTTGGCGTGTAGACTGATTTAGAAATGGCAAAACCCGGTCTAAGATTTGCCCCCTAACCAAACATAAATCTGTGTTCTCTTCACTGTGGATCTAAATTACGCCGCATACAGAAAACCATGCAACTTAGATCGTTTCCGCCTCGGGCTTTTTGAATGCCTGTTCCCAACTGTAGAGAGCACAGGGGTACAAAAAAGAAAGGAATAAAGCCACGTATATAAAAAGGATACAGGGAAGAAAGAAAGAGAAGAGAAAGTGAGGCACTGCTGAGATAGCACAGAACAAGTTAGCAAAAGTCAATAGCTCTACCTTATAAAAAGGAGAAATCAATGAGTTAATGGCCCTGATTTTCAGTAGGCATATATCAGTATAATTCCATTAATTTTAACATAGCCACATCAACTTCTGCCTGCTCATTTTCAGACTTAACATTTTTAGTATCCCAAACCATCTGTATATTTGCTTCTTACGTTAATCTTAACTCACATGAGCATTTTCAAGGTTCCAAGTTAACCTTGAAAGTAACTACTTACTCAGGTAAAGTGGGTGATGTATCTAAACTAGAATCATTTTGAAATACCAGTAGTTTCACTGACTCAAAGCACTAACATATGTTTTTCAATGCAACAGCCAACTTCTTTTCTGCATCCACTCTCCCCGGTTAACAACACAGGTATTTTCTACACATGAAAAGTTTCGCAAAAAAAAAAAAAAAGGCCATTATTGCTACAATCCTGAACTTGATTAGAAAATAGCTTCCCCCTCCTTACCACTGCTATTCGGTTAAAAAGACTCTCCTTCAAGACTAATTTAACCCCATAAATGTTTCATCAGTTTTAGAATATATCTTTTAATGGAAGAACCTACAAAGGAAATAACATGACTTTTCCATGTGTATTCTAGGTTGTAACACCTGCAAGTTATGGCTGTGGTCATTTTTACTAAGCTTTAAAGCATTAAATTCTCTCTCCCCTGCATGTACGACTGTATAAAGCCCAAGGTTTTGTTCTAAGAACTCCACTGACATTTGGAGATGTGAAATCATGCACCAGAAATGCAGGCAGAGCATGGGGCAAGCTGCCTCTGGGTGGAACAGTGGCTGTTAACCGTATTTCTAGGGTTATGTCTCCATCCTTCGCTTCTGTTTTTATCTCAGTTACATACACCAGCCACAGAACCCATAGTTTCACACGCACTTGAACTGGCTTGCTCTCTCCTACCCTACAGGTTCCCGCAGTGCTGGAGGCTGTTCATCAAGTGTACATTATAGAGCACTATATATAAAATACAGTAAATAATTATACTACAATTTAATGGTAAGTCTCAAAATCTAAAGGAAATAGTCAAAACCGTGGGGGAGCAGTGTTTCACAACAGTAATTTCCCTCTGGCTGCTTACACCGCTCTCAATTTCTTTTCAGAAGAGCTCAGAGCTTGGTACATTTCATCCAAATCTATGTTTGAAACTCTGTAACCTTTGCCAGAGTAACTCTCCAGGAAGCTCGCTTGACCTTTACTTAAGATAAAGAAAGCAACTGAAATGAAGAAATAAATGTTCCTTTGATAATACTATGTAAGCTGTGGCTAAAGAACTCAGAAATACAACAGCATGAATACAGTAGCCATTTTAGGAAAAATTCTTTATCACCAAAAAGAAGTGACAAACTTTGATGGGTTGCTTAATTTACAGTTCAGAAATTATTCTCCAAGAATCATTGAGTTATTCAGTAAAGACAACTGCAGGGTAGCAAAGGTGTTGGCAGAACTTCGTATTCATACAAAAAAAAAAAGACCTGTGCATACGCAAATTTTATCTGGACATATGAACCCATGTACAGCAACACTATTTTCAATCTATGCAGCAATTTTTGGTTGATATGACCTTGTATTAGAAGAACATATTGAAAGGGGAAAGAGGAAAATGGAAGGCAAAAGCTTCCTACAAAAATCTACAAAATGACCATTAACTGTTTGCATTATGTCAGTAAATATTCTGAAGGAAATTATTTGTTGTAACTGATTATAAGCAAAAGTAACTTTAATATGACAATAATGTGTGACAATGGAACAATTTTTTTTTGTACATAAAGGTTTTATAGTATCCAAGTCTCAAGAAACAGATTCTTTTTTTTTTCAAATGGGTATCTAAATTATCTGCCAAATACAGATTTTTAAATTGTTTTAAAATTTAGTTTAAAATAAATTTTGATATACAACGTGTTTGTAATGTTTCCATGAGAACTTCATATTTATTATACACTTTAAAGCAGTTCAAGCTAAATTTGTGTTAGATGGTTGCAGCAATTCGCTATCATAGGCTCAATAACTGAACATATTTATCATAGTGCGAAAACAGACATGCACTCTAACTGCTGTAAGCAGACAATGTTTAGAAGTGACCTCTGTTGATGGAGACCAGACTTGCTATGGCCTAATGAGATGGGCATACTGAGGGCTGTGGAAGGATGCAAGATAGCATTGGCTTTGCCATGTAATGTCTATTATGTCATTTCTTCCACGGATCCTCTGCCAGTCAAACCACAGAGCAGCGCTGGTATAAGGCACTTCAAAGGAGGGTCAGTGTGCAACAGAAAAGCAGTATTTTGGCAGCAGCAGGAATGAATATTTGAGGTACATGGCTTGGGTTTGTTTTGTTTTGTGTTTTTTAAACAATTTTGACAAGAGTAAGAGGGCTAGCAAACATAACAAAATGTCCAGCTTATTCTCATTTAAAAGGGCTCAGTAAAAACAGACACCCTGATACTAAAGGACTGATTCCTGCTGTTCTAACAGATAAAAGTCCCATGAACTCCAAAACCAATTTTTTTTGAAAAAGGATGGCAGGTTCTGGCTCATGGTGCCACACAGAATGCCAAGACATGCCATACTAAAACAGGCCATGCAAACGAATGCTCAGTGCCGCTTCTCTTTGGTAAGTACAAATGAGAGAAAAATCTTGGGATTTTTCTGTGTGTTTTTTAAAGACTTCTGTATAAGGGACTTGTTGCCTATGTCTCAGGCTACTTGGTTCCATAGCATCACCATCCTGCTCCCACTGCTTACAGAAACAGAAAGCTCCACTATTCCTATGATACTGAATGAGAAAACTCTTTCTGCTTTCAGAGGCAAAAACTAAAGAAGCGAAAATGGTACCACCTGCTAAAAGTTACATCTTCAGCCAAAACCACCTTTACTGGCTATAGTTCAAAACCCTACTTACTTCATCTACTCCTTGCGCTGATGTCACTGACAGGCAGAAAGAACTGTCACATGACTGCAGGCAACACAATAAATAATAGAAATGGAGACAAAAATGTTAAGAAAGTGATGATTTATACTATACTTACAACTTTCAGCCTGATAGTCTGGCACAAACTGCTCGTCATTGTCAGGTACCTGAGCTGAAGAAAGGGGAAGGGGAGAAAAAAAAAAAAGAGGAAAGAATTAAAAGAAGCCACTAAAGCATAAAAAATTTTCCTGCTAAACTTGAACCCCAGCCAAAGTCAAAACTAGGATTTTGTTAGCTCAACCATTGTGAGGTCTGACATCAGGCATGAAAACTACCTTTCCATAGGTAAAACCTGCTAAGAGTGAATTTTCGAGGTGGTATTAAGGACCTATATACAAAAATAAATCCCAGTGCTTAAAATCTATGTCTGTTTAGACTGCAGGTACAGCTATAATTGGGTCCAATTTCTCATGGCAAACAAACAAAATAAGAGAAAAGAGAGTTTAAAAAAAGAGAAAAGAAAAGAATAAAAAACTGTCATTTTGCTAGACCACAGAATTTACGTTACAAATTTTATCTTTTCTTGGACGGACACAAAATAATTATTTAATTCAAGAACTATAATCGGAGTCCATCTGCCTTCTGCAATCTTTGTTTTTAGGAAACTTTCTGACCCATCTATACAACTGCTGCTATTATGAATACTGCAATAACTGTATTAGGAGTTCTGACATCATGGTTGTCCTTTGATGATCTATCACATTTCTGTTTTGTTGCAAAATAGAGACCCTAACCAACTTCTCAAATCAGGTCAACGCCCTGTAAACACTGAAGACATTAGCACAATACAGAGAGAGAGAGAGGTAAACACTATACACCCAAGTGAGCTAAACTGATCATGAAACAACTATGTTCTTACCAATTTTAGAGATATCAAGAGTTAGCAAAAACTTGGTTTACTGTAACTTAATTTTCCCTTTCTCTTCCGTTGAGCTATGCTATCTGGAATTTTACCATGAAATTAGCCATTTGCAAGTCTGTTAGTTTAGACAACTCTTGTCTACAGATGGGCAAATCACATAAATACAATTAAAGATGACATTATGCCATATTAACATAACATCACCCAACATGTTTCATGAGGTATATAATCTCTCAGTTATATAATCATTTGTTGCAACATTAATAGTTTAGATATTCAAAAATAAAGCGTTCAAACATTTTAGAAAACTTTTTAGTCTAAGATATATTAAGGACTCCATTTACACTAACACCTCGGCGTAACTTGTTCACATTAGTGGGAATTACTTATATTAGTCAAGAAGGAAGACTATAATCTTTAAAATTTAGCACTCAAAAGAACTGATAGCAGGTTTATACAATAGCCTATAGACCTGAACTTCACTCTTTACTGAGAAAAAAAAATCCCATTTACTTAACTGAAAACTGTTTTCTAAGTAAGTATTTCAGGATCAGGCCCATGATGCAGCAAAACAGTGCTCACATGATTCTAAGATACATGTTTAGAATCCTAGACAATTAATTGTAGCAAGCTCACATTAAAAATAAAAGACCTTGGTAAAACTACAAACCAGGGAGGTACTGAAGTATTAATAACACAAAATATATTAAGCTATATTAACAGCACTATCCCTTTAAGGAGAAAGAGGTATATCTGTAGACATGTTAGCTGATCAAAGATTAAAGTTTCATAGAATGTACATTGTTACCACGTCAATTATTACTAGTAGATTTTGGTCCGTTAAACTCTTCTTTTCTCCAAAAGAAACCACAGAATTCTTACCAAATAGGAACTCAAGAGCAACGCAAGCACCAAGAGTGGTAAAAATCAACTAAAAAGAAATGAAAAATCTGTAAATTCAGCTGTTCATTTTGACCCCTACATTTGAGCATTTCCCATATATCGGATACTTGACCGCTATGGGAGAACTGCGTTTTGAAGTCATGCTGCCAAACAGTCTATTCATAAAAGAGATCTTTACACATCCCCAAGAATGTTTAATTTTGAGGCACATATAAAGCATAGAGTCTTTCCATTTATTATCTTCTTTTTCCATAAAATATCAATACGAAATACATTTTCCTTGAAACATAGTTGATCTGACACTTTTACATTCAACTAGTAGAGGGTTAAAAAACATTTTAAATAAATGGGCTCAGTTCTGAGCTACCACATACAAGTAACTCCTAAAATAACTGTTGTGTGCATGGTGGTAGCAAAATTGAGACCACAATACATTGAGACACTACACCCCCCCCGCACATACTTAATCCCAGCATGATTCACCCCTGCTTTACTCCTGTTCCATTGATTTCAGTGGAGTTACAATGGTATGGAAATGGAAAAATCAACGGTGAATCGGGTCCTTTATTTTCCAGAGAAGTATAAAGCAAAACCCACTTTTAAGGCCCGGTTCCCACCCCCACCTGTAAAATTCCATTGACTACAATAATACTCCTGATTTGCACTGGGGTGAACCAGAAAAGAATGAAATCTTAGTACTGGGCATAATTTATTTCTGGACATCAAAATATTTACAACAACCTAGTAAAACCACACAAACCATTTTGTAACAACAGTAAAAACAGGTGACTTATACCGCCAAATGTAATATCATTTAAATGCATGTACTAATATGTACACCTCGAGAAGCCACTCCAAAAAAAGAACACCACAGCAAAAGGCAGCAATGTGTTTTATTTTGTAAAATTATACACAGCGTTAGACACTTTTTCCTTGAAACTCTTAAATAAAGATCAAGTACTGTAAAAAGCAAATCCACAAGCCTGTCCTGAAAACAATATATGGGTAAAAGTCAATGCCCCTCTAACCAAAGAATGTGTGGCAATCAGAATCGTTAATTTATTCCCCATTATAAATCCTATTTAAAAAGAGAAGAAGAAAAATCAAAGAGAAACTCACACATGGTCATTACAAAAAAGCAAGCCATCATCCACCCAACACAGACTTTTTCCAACAGCAGCTAGCTGTGCAAAAGCAAATGGACCGGGTGCACCATCACGTTACTCATAGAAAAGAGGGCTTTTGTACCCCGAGTTTGGATAATTAAAAGGGAGTCTTTGTAACAAGTTAAACCAGCAAATAGACAGTTAACTATAGTTTAACTTGGATCCCTGAAAGGAAAAAGTGACTTGGAGTGTTGCAACTGTATGCACATTTATATATGTATATCATTCGCTTCCTCTTCTCTTTTAGTCACAGACACTGCAATTTGGCAAGGCTGCCATTAAATCTACAGTGGTCTTCTGTTTGCACATTCAAGATAGGACACAATGTAAAAGTCCACAAAAAACTTTTCCCTTTGCATTTAGCAGAGAATTAGCAAACATGTCTGAAATGATCACCTCAGAGAACAAGAATATTTCCACATAATAATTAAAGAGACTAGGGGACAGAAGGAGGGGAAAGTATATATTAAAAGGCTTTCTAGAAGATTAAGCAGGTAGATTTTATTTGTAATAACAGAAGCAGCTAGCTCTATCAGTTCATTCCAAATCAACAGACAAGTTGCCATCAAGTCTCAGACTCTCTTACTTGAAGTGAGCAACATCTGCAATATCAGCTATTTCGGCTTAGCCTAGATTATTACCAAAAGTTTTTTTTTCCTTCAAACTACAGCAGTACATCCCAAGGGGGTGGGGGAAGTGAACAAACATGTTAATTATGATCTTAAGTTTTGCAGGAGAGATATCAGTTTGGATTTTATAGTCTCATTACCTACTCAATTAAAATCAACTTGCCAAAAGCAACTGTTCAAAGCATATAAATGCTTAATATCTGTTTGTAATTCTGAGTGACAAATTTAAAACATCACTTTAAAAAGCTGAACTTACATCTTGCAAAAAGAGAACTATTTGGAAGAGGAATTTGAGCTGGAACTGGGGCCAGTTTCCCTTCTTTCATTGCAAACAAACAATAATAAAGCTGCCATCAACAAACATCCAGGACAAAAGGAGTTAATATTTAATTAAAACCAGCTCTATCCACTGTAACAATGACCTGGAGCCAAACAAGGCAGAAGATGTATGAGTCATTCTTTCTGCCAGTGAATGAGACAGCTGATCTCCTAAGCAATTCCTCAAGACAAGCAGTCAGAACTGGAGTTCTGCCTCCATTCACAAAAACACAGTCCGGCATGAACCATGTGGCCCCAACCACAATCTTTTCATGTCACACCCTTCCAGAAAGCTACAGCAAAGTAAACTTGAACTTTATGCATAAACACACTGATTTCATTGCTTTGTCTCAAGACGTAGCACAGACCTGCTAAGGAACATATTTAATAAACGAAAAGTTAAGCAAACCAAAAGGCAATTAAATTTAACTCTTCTTTGTCCCAGGCCCGAACTTCTGCTGCTGCTCGGCATGACATGTAGCAAAGGCTGCTTGAAAAGCAGAGAGCTGCCACTTCTCTTCGCTTCATTTAAGAACTTTATTTCGGATATCGTAACATTTCCTACGGTACTCCCACCTCTGACCTCGAGGTTTGCTTTTGGAGCTAGAAGCAATTTGTTTCAAAACATCAAAAGATTTACTCAGTGTGGCAAAAGAAACTGAAATTGACAGGAAATAAAATATATGAACAGCAGTGCTTTGGCTTAGCCTAAAATAAGGCTTCAGGCCACAGAACAAAGAAGTGAGCCTACGCAGCTTTGTTTTACTCATTATCTGTTTTCGGCATTTAAAAAATTACATCAAATATAAGCATAAATACAAGAGTGTAACTTTTTGTACTAAAAATAATGAAAAAGGGATAACAGCTCCTAATAAAAAAAAGGACTCAGATGATAGCACAGTGACAACTTTTTGGACACATCATTGCCTGTAAAAACTGGATGTACTGTCAAAACAGTCCAAAGTTATTTCCCCTTCCCTTCCTCCCCACCATTTACATTAACTTGTTCCAACTTGTTATCTTTAATGTCTCTTTAAAACTAACCCCATAGCCTGAAACTCTTCCGAGTCTGCATAATCACTAATGTGACAATGGGCTGGTGGAATCTGCTCCACTTATTTTTTTTTAATATATATTATTAAATTAAAAAGAAGACAAAAAAGTTGTTTTAAAATGCCTATGCACATTTTACATCCAACTTTATCCCATGCGCACAATACATTCTACTAATGCATTGCAAAAGAATTAGGAACTTGCTTTTTCTGTAAATGAGAAACTCTTACAAGCATTAGTGGTGGTCACTCTTTCAGACCTGACAGCTTTATAAAAACGATTAGTACCATCTTGTCAAATCCAACTTTCCTCCTTTTTTTTTTTTTTTTGAGTATATGAAGATATTTGAACTTAGGCATTCATGTCAGGTGTTAGGAAGTCAAATGGATCAAATGAGTAGCATCCAAAAATAATTCATAATGCGACACATCTTAACTTTGAAAATAATTTTACTATCCATCTTAGATCTGTCCCACTAGGGAAATTTCGGCTTCCAACATGTGTAGTGGTCTTTTCTTGTCTACATTTACTTTATTGACTATTCAGACAGACACAATACTTAATTTCCATATACCCCAGATTCTGGTAGGATTCATTATTGTTTAGCAGAGAGACCAGGCTTTCAGAAGGTACAAGCCATCATAGCTTCACTGACCTCAAGGGAGCTACAGCAATTTACACCCCTTGAGAATATAGCTCTGTAACTTCAGCTTCTGCTGAAGAAGGTAATTTGAGCATTGCAGAGCCATGCAAATTAAAAGTGACCACTCTCATACATGGCATTCATGGGATCTCCATAGCGTAATACTGTATCAGACATTACTATGGCACTTGTGCACACAAACTTGACAGTGGTAGCAGGGATGATGGAAACTATTTCTTAATAGTCCAAATTGTTTCTTAATCATCCAAACTTGACCATTAATAAGTTGCAGAGAAAAATGCTTTATAGAAATCAGTATGTAGTATCTCTTTCGTTTGGACAGTTTGCGACCGTCACCAACTTGTACTAGCTAGGAAGAGAGTGGGAGCGTGAGAGCCTGTCACAGCACTTTTCACTTTAAAAGCAATTAACTTTGAGGAAAGCACAAAGAACAAAAAATGAAATTTAATGAATTAAAAAAAATCCTGCTGTTTTTACCAGAAAAGGAACTACTACTTTAAAAATAATCAAAAACATTGATTACTGACATTAATTTTAGAAGCTTTTTACTCATCTTTACCAAGCTGTAATAGGAAATGGTATCCAAATTACTAAATAAGCACCATTTTAAACCAGCACATACTCCAGGGGTTTTTTGTTGTTTTCTTTTTTTCCTGTTAGGTCCCAACCCCAAATGCGTCCACCATGGCTTTCAGTAGCAAAGAGTTTGTTTTCTCTACTCTGTTCCAGAATAAGTAGCAGCAGCTACCATGATGAGATATTATATTAATATTTGAAACAATTATTTCAAGCCACTGAATGATTGCTATCTGCCAACAGCAATCTAATTCCAAATATACAGAATCAATAAAGGCTTTTTATAATATTATCATGACGATGTAGCTACCAAAGTATTTAAATATAAACCAATGGCATAACCTGAGTAATATTTATGTTGGTTGGAAATATAGGCAAGTTTAACTCTTTATTTTCAAGTACAATAGTGTAAACAATTATTAAAATCTTTCCACTTTCAAATTCTGACATTGAACAATAGCGCAAATTTATTTTCTTTAACAACCAACACTGGGAATCCATACTGTCTACATTTTGCATTAGGATAAATTGTTTTTTTCCCCTCATGCTTTAAGTGATGCTTTCAGAAAAAGCTAAACTTATAACCACAGACTTCTAGTACTGCATTTAGTGTAACAAATTCCTAACTTTTTCTACTAGTGGCATTCAGTTGGGTTGGGGAGTAGGTAGTAAGGAGATAACCTGTTTAATATGGTTTTTACAAAGTTTATGTATTATATTCTGGATTATTTTGTTCATTCAATCTACATTGGAAGCTCCCATTATTTTCATTGGAAGTGGTATAAGTAAACTTAGATGAAATGTCATTTCTTTAGGCTTATATATTACCAAGACTCTTTATAGAAGACAAGAAATGGCAGTGTTCTAGAAAAATCTCAGGTGTTAAAAGTGCCTTTAAAATTTTTCTTTTTTATTTGGCAAGGATTCTTCATGCAACTCACTTGACTCTTATCTAATAAGCAAATTTTCTGACCTGGTTAAAACCCAGTGGGGTTCTGAACTCATAGGAGAAACCTGGTCAGTTGCCACTGATCTTAAAAAGGGTCAATATGTTTTAAAATTTCATGGTCATTTTCCTGGCTACATAGCATCATGAAAAGAAATATGTAAACACTCCTGATGCTGCCAAATTGGCAGCGTTCTAGTTTAGGAAGTTCCAGAATTACATAAATGGACAAATCTAGCAATGGATAAACAAGCCTAATTTCAAAATCTCCTTCTTGACTAAGCTAACTTCTGCAGACATTTCAGCAGAGCTAAAAAGCAGCATCCCAGACACCCAGTATATTGTCAATAGTGGTGCAAGTTTAAAAAACTTTATTTTTAAACACTCACTAAATAAATCAGGAGTTCATATTAATAAATACATACTCAGTGGGGTTCTTGTAATCTTGCTCAAACTCAGTTATTTCAGTTATATGATAAAGTCCTTGCAAATTCTTTAAAAGTTCTCTCTCTCTTTTAAGGGCTAAAACAATAAGGTAGACCAAAATGTGGAGATGCTTTAAATTATTTCTAAAATAAAGGGATATTTTTATTATTTATATTTAACATCCTGAAAACATTTACAAATGAATATGAACGTCAATAGTTTGGGTGTAAAGTACATTTGTTATACTCACCATATGATATACACAGCATCTACAAGATTTCTTCAACTTAGTCTAGACAGAGCTTTGTCAAATCATTTCTAACTTTATAGAGTTAGTTAAAGAGCACAAGGAAAAAACTTAAGGCTTTGAAAAAAAGCATGGAGTCTGAAGAAACAAGTGTAGCTATGAAGAAGAAAAATGCCAATCTAGTAAGTTATATACCTATAGGAATGATTAAGGGTGTGATCATTCCCATATTTTTGCCAAACTTGCAAAGCTGCTATGCATATATATTATCAAACTGACAGCTTTTTTCTGACTTAAAAAAAAAAAAATCGGAGAATTGTAATCATTTTCAGGAACAAAAGAAAAACACCAGTGAAAGTAAAACTGAAAATTTGCCCCGACCCCCTGCCCTCATGAAAGAAAGAAAGAGAGAAAGAAAGAAAATCATACCTTTCCATAAGTGGTCTTACAAACTTCTAGCTTGTTAAAATGAATTAAATAGACAAAACAGTCTTGCTACAATGACCAGAGGGAGACAGTCAATGGTGTAGCTGAAGATTATAGTAAAAGATTATCCTGTTGCAGTACATCCTACTTTCAGTGATTAGAAAAGAATTACATTAATACTTTTACTCAACTCCCTTTCTATCGGTTTAACAAAGACTCTTTGATTATATATAACACAGACACATGTTACTAGTAAAGATTTTTGCTGAGAGAATTAAAACACCAGCAAAACAAAGAAATGTTCTTACAAACTAAAACCTTAACCATGCATGGCTATCAAAAAGATCAGTCTGTTGCCTAGTGCCTCCAGTAATATTTCCTTTTTCTCTTATGGTAAGCAGTTGCAAACAGTCATCCCCACTCCCAAAAAACAAAACATTAATGCAATAAACAACACTATTATACTGAACTATACACTATGAGGAAAATAAAACATGCGTGAATACCCACAGTTCATAAGTCAGGCTAAATTTTCAGAAAAGAGGTTTATTTATATCAAAATCATGTTAAAAATTCAGCCACAGCATTTTCCATTTAAACTTCAACCAAAAATACATTAGAGAGACAGACAAAGCGTAAGAACCTTAAAGCCTGAAATAAACAGTATATTTAATACCAAGGGAAAACATCACAAAATATTGCTGAAGTGAACAAATATGCTTCAAGCAGCAGAAATCTCTTTTGCATTTTGCTGAAGTTCTCCTGTAGCAATATCTCATCCTTTTTATTACTAGTAAACCCATCTCTCGAAAGCCACTCTAAATTCAGATTTCAAATATATTGTTTTTAAAACCTTCATCCACAGAATTATGTGCTTTGAGAGATTACCTGAAATATTTAAAAAATGAAAGCAACTGTAAAATGACAAATGTCAGATTTTCAATTACCCCATTCACAGTACTATAAAAAGTACAAGACATGAAGGAAAAAAAATAAAACCCCAAGCAACTTATTCAGAATATCAAATAGCTTCTGAAAAATCTTCCTTAAGTATTTGATACACACCTAATGTTCTGTGTTGTGAACAAGGTGGAAAGAAGACACTTGCACTTAAATCTTGAAGCATCCCGTCCCGATGAACCCAGAGAAACTAATTTCTGCCATCAGAAAAGTACTCCACCAGAACACCAAATAATTATATGTGCTGCTCTAAAGGAAACAGCAAACCCAGTTCTGGCTGTATGCAGTCTCTCGAGGTACAATAATATAAACCTGATCAATTGCAATTAAAATCTGAACAGAGGCTTAGAACTTGAAGTCTTGGTGCATTAGTTCTTGCCAAAAGCAGATGTGATTGTGAGCTGGAAGCAATTTCTCCTGGTAATTTGTGATGACACTGGGTAGAGCAGCCCCAGAGTCCCCAAAGACAAACTCATCAGAGGCTCTAATGTATGCATGACACATGAGGTGGCTCTTTTAGAGCTCAATTAATTGGGCTGAACATTAAGACAGCAAGTTCAGGACTTTTTTTTCCTCCAGAGTTGTTTTTCTTCTTTTTTTACAAGCAGTTTTTTTTTCTCTTACCTTCTGCAAGCCATGTCTCCTGTAATTGGCTCAGATCTTGAAAGAGTTCTGAAAAAGGATGAAGACACATTTAAAAGACTCACACCTTTAGTCTTTAAAAAGGTGAAAATGTTAAAAAAAGTGTATTTTCCCAAAGAAAATACATGAGAATTATACTTTGCAAATCCTACATACAGACAGAAAAGGGAAAAAAACAGACATATCCTAGTCACAAATAAGGATTAGTTTACATCCTTTTTCTACTAAAGGAGCCTAAACAAATATTTAATTGACTCTGGAACTAATAATCAGAATCCAGAAATACCTGTGTCTAAATCTAACACATTTCTCTCTCTTTTCTTACATTTATAGCAGAAAATGCTTATTTGGCAACCCAAAAGTGAAGTTTAGATGAAAATTTCTTGGATTCTAACATTCCGGTCCCCCTAGACCACCTCTAATTTTTTCACAGGCAAAACTCCCATAGAACTCAATGAGAGCTTTACCAGACCAAGGACTGTTTTTTGCCTCCACTTCCCCACTCTTATTTTAAAATAGCTAATCAGCACAAATAAATACAGATCAAAAATTAGCAAATAAAATGCAAAACAGGGAAAAAAAATCAGTGTTTTTGTTAAACGCACAACTTAACCTTTGATATTAATCTTTATGCGCTAGTGATAATACTGTTGCAATATAGGTTGATTCCACTATCTTGCACAATGTTATCAAGTGGCATCATCTCTTCCATGGACCAAAATCTGCAAGGATTTAGTCCATTTGCAACCTCACTGAAATCAGCAAGGATTACACTGATGGGTGTAAGGCAAAGCAGAATTTGACCTCATTTTGTGGGCGCAGTAACTCATCTACAAAAATTTGCCCAGCAAAGCTACGACTTGCTATGATGTTTGCACTGATGAAGAATTCATTCTTAATGCACTAAGTTTTTGGAAAGAAACTTCTTCTTAGCAGATATCTATTGCACACATTTAAAAGTTACAGGCTCTTAGTCCATATTGTGTGATGCTGCTGCTGTTTTTTTTACTTTGAGAAATCTTCTAACTAAAAACCAGCAAGTGATTTTGCTTTCAGTGGGTGCTACAAAGGGCCGCTCACAAATCCTTTAAGAATTTTAAACACACAGATGCAGGATCCTATTGTGATAGAAGATGCATAGTTATAAACAAATTCCTTTTTGACAAACCCATGCAGAAGCTAACTAGCCCTTGTAAATTAGGAGAATGTTATTACCAAAGCACTTAAAAGCTCCAGTTTGGATCAGCAGCTTGCTCACTTCAGTCCATAGGGCTACCGACATGAGTATTTCATCACTACTCACGTGAGTAAGGTTTAAAAAGTTGGGCCTATAAAGCCTAGTCAATTTTGGGCTTAAATCTCCCAAGGCAATTCTCATCAGCACAACTTCACTGGTGTTACCAAGTGCTAATGTAGACAGACTACCAACAGCTACTGTATTCAGTCCTGCCCTAAGACAGATTCAAATACCAGCAGCTGGTATATACCAACAGTCTCACTCTAGCTACCACTCATGGAGTTGTGCCAGTAGCAGCTAAAGTGAAAAATTTTGTAAAAATGGGGGGGGGAGGGAGAGTTGGGGGGAGGGATTACTGTACACAAGTCCTGAAGGCAAAGAAGCCAGATGCATTTTATCCTTAACGTGTGTCCTTGTGTCAGGAGCTGCAAAACAGTCTCACTCAAGTGCACGTCATTTATGTACCAGATGTGCAGCAATACCTAAAACGCAACAGGGTGAGTGAAGGAGGGAATATCAACTTTAGCAGCCAAGTGCCTTTGCCAGTTTGTTTCACAGCCCTAAATGCAATTTTCTTGTCTTATTTATACAAATTGATCTAGACAAACATATCTCCAAAATAAGTAAATAAAGAGCTCTCCTGAAGCTCCTATGCATTTCTAAGTAAAACAGGGGAGAAAGGGGCGGGGGGTCTCACCTTCTGAATCATGAGCCAGGTCTCTGTTAATGAATTTTCTTTTCCTGACATTTGTTGGTCTCTCATTACAGTTTCTCCCACGCGTATTCTATAAACAGGAAAGATCAGTTACTTTAAAAAAAAAAACAAACCCTCAGATTTCTAGATTTAAACCAAAATATTCAAAACCTACACAGAGTCCGTACATTTTCCACAGAGAAAATTACTATCCCACAGCTTCTAGTCTTAAATTTTACATGCAGTTTATAGACCAGCATTCTCCTGAGTGCCTCATGCTCAGGGGATCCCAGTGCCTAAATGCATCACAGCTCCATGTGCAGATGTACCGATACATATGGAAAATGCTCCAGCACCAGCACAGAGCTAAACATAGAATTTTAGCCTGCTTCTGAAACCTGCACACCAGCATAAAAATCCCCTTTGCTTAAGCTATTCAGGAGATCTCAGACATAAGGAGATCACAATAGGCTGCTTTGTTTCCCCAACGTTATTTGTAAAATTGCTTGCAACAGCCTGAAAACAAACACACACAAAAAGTGTTAACGTTGGTCTGAACTTCATTCTCAGTGTTACAAGCAAAGCACAGCCAGAAACTTTGAATGCAGCAGCTGCTGCTGCCCTCCTCTCCTACTCATCGTGTGCATGGTTTGTTTGATTTTTTTTTTTTTAATCATCCAGACATTGTCTTGAAAAGAGCAGGATGCTTTATTGCAATAACTCGAAGATAAGCCTATCTTGTAGGCAAAACAAACCAGACACTACCGGCAAAACTCCCCCAGACATGTAAGTCCGAGTCAAGTTTATAAACACCAACTTTGGAGCTGATCACTCACATTGGTGACCATGTAAGGCACTTGCTGGTCATAAAATCCATCCATCCTGCAGCTCTTCCACAAGTCTTAGCTGACTCTTATTTTCTGGGCATTTGATCTGCAGCTTTCCTCAGGATCTGGACTGCAAGCAGCCTGGAGGAGAATACAAGATGGCTTTTAGATTTCAAAAAAAAAAAAAAATCATGAATGAACTGCTTGAATTTGCATACCTAATTAACCTCAAAGAGTCCCATTCATAAAAAAAAAAAAAAACAACAACCCTCCCTTCCTTGCCTTCACCTGGGTTACAAGGCAGTGCCAGGAAAACGCCGAGCAAAAGCACTTTGAACAGTAGCCGAAAGCAAAACAAGAGGCAAGGTATCTATTTACACCGCTCCTGTCTCCCCAGAGCGGTGTGTGGCGGTGGCAGCACTGATTCGCAAACGTGTGCAGAACTAGTAATGGCGAACAACATGACTCGCTTTGCACCTAACGGGAGTAGAGAGCGAGCGAGCGAGACGCGGAGCTACCTTGTTTCAAAGGATCATTTTTGCAACCCACGACCATGCAATTATCTGGAGCTACGGGGAAAAGTTGCTGGAAAGACCCACCTGAAGGTAACGCAAGGCGATCGGCTGCAAAAAATTCCCTCCAAATTTAATAAAAACATTAATTATTCCCCAGCACTTCCCCCTTGGAAGCAGAAAGCGCCACTGACAGAGCTCAAATCCGTGGTTTTTCCTCTACTTCTCCTCCAGGGGCCTCCAAGCCAAACTGATGGATCTCTGCCTCCCATTGGCTCTCTGTGTCTTTCACAGGATCAGATTTCTGCCTGTCAGTCAGGCTGCCTCTCTCCCTCTTTTCCTCAGGGAAAAAGGTAAAAGCTGGATCCTGCCGGATCCTGCTGGATCCATCCGATGTTTGGCCCCTGCCCCTTCAATCTGTTGCAGAAATGCAGCTGCTTGTTTCAGGCTGACAAAAAATAGCCGGATCCCTATGTGTCCCAGAGCAAGGAGCATCACCACAACCACCCCAAACCGAGATCCTCCAGGATCCAGTGCAAACCCCACTGCTTCCAAAGAGATCAAGTTTTGCTGCTTTGATTTTTGTGATGATGTGGCATGGCATTATATCCCTGACCAGTTGGATCCTATCAGTTTTTGGCCCTTGCGCCCCCTTTCTCTTGCTTGGACAGTAAACATCTTGATCCATTTCTATTGCATAAAAGGGCTGAAGACCAATATAGTCCAGTACAACAGCATCACAAAAGAGTGTCACAGCCAGCAAATTTGAACCCTACCAAATTTTGGCCACATATCCCAAACCTGTACCATTAAATATAATATTTTGGGATCTGGATTATTTTAGTGAGCAAGGAAAAAATGCAAATATACAGGGTTTAGACAGTAAACCAGAAATAAAAGGCATACAGTAAAATTGGAGCTGGGCAAATTAGAGTTTTTGAATCTTCCCAGAGCTGCTGAGATCCAGAATTTTAAACTGAGTAATAAGAAGCAAATGTTTCTGTTATGATGGTACAATTTCTGTGGTTTGTGGCCAAAATTTGGCTGGTTATAGACCCTGATTCTGGGTTTTGTGGCACTGTTGTACTAGGACGCGTCAAGATTTGGGTGTCTGACATGTTTTAAGTGATCCTAAGACTTTTGTCTATTGCAGCAGAAATTATAAGGTGAAGTGCAAAGGTCCAACAGCTTTTCTTTTCTTTTGTATAACAGGAGCATCTATACTAGGTTTTTATTTAGGCAGTGTCTCCACGATGGGAGGAACCAAGGGACAGAATAGAATATTTGTGACATTGATTTAAAAAGACGTATCACGGTTCCAATTTTTAAGGTTCAGTAGGTGTGGCTAAGTGAGTTCTGTCTTTAACTAAATGGAGCCCCAAATGAAAGAATCATCTAACTTAACCCTCCCCTTTTTCTCAGGATACTGCAGGCAGCAATTAAAAAAAAAAAAAAAAACTTTGGGGGACCAACCCCCCTGACAGAGTCCTGGGCATCCCACAAAATGACACTAACTCTGGTTCAGGTTAGCATAGCTGTCAAAGGGGATGTACAATTATTACATCTCAACTGGTGGAGTCGTAGTTCCACTCGTTGAAATGCTGCGTGAACAAGCATTCAAAGTATTTAAAATTATTTTAAAAGGCCCATGCAGTAGAAATGTCCACTACATCAGACCAGGTTGAAACCTAAATTTGATTGAGGTTCAAGGGTTTGAATGAACACCTGTACACATTGCCAAAAGACTGAAGCCACTGTGGTGCTCTCTGGCATCCAATGTGCCTTGCTCCCTCTCCTCCCCCCTCCAGGGAGATACAGGCATACCTCGTTTTATTGCACTTCGCTTTATTGCGCTTCACAGATATTGCGTTTTTTACAAATTGAAGGTTTGTGGCAACCCTGCGTCGAGCAAGTCTATTGGCGCCATTTTTCCATCGGCGCCATTTTGATAGTTAGCATTTTTTAGCAATAAAGTATTTTTTAATTAAGGTATGTACATTTTTTTTTAGACATAATGCTATTGCACACTTAATAGACTACAGTATAATGTAAACAAAACTTTTATATGCACTGGGAGACCAAAAAATTCGTGTGACTCGCTTTATTGCGATATTCGCTTTATTGCAGTGGTCTGGAACCGAACCCGCAATATCTCCGAGGTATGCCTGTACTCTTTTTGGGCTGCAGTGAAGTTTGTTGTAGCAGCCCAAATCACACAAACCCATCCCCCTGAAGGCTGAGGAGCTGGGAAAACTCAGCCCTTCTCCACAGCCTCCAGGGCTTTAAATGCTGCCATGCTGCAGAGCTCTGATTGCAGGGTGTCATGTACTGTAGATGGGCAGACTCCTCCCCCATGGCACTTGACAGCCACACATTTGCTAGCGTGGGGTTTAATATATGGTTGGGGTGGGAGATATTCCTCCATGGTATATTAGAGCCCCATGCTTGCAGCTCCACACAAGCGCCTCTAAATGTACATTAATTTGCTTTTGCTACCGCACATTAAGTATAGTACCTCTAATATGAGGTACTCCATAAATGCTCATTAGGCTGCCCTAATGCGCGGCAGCAAACGTGCATGCCTTTTTAGAGATGCTTAATGCTCAGTAGCCTATTTCTACTGTGCTGTTTTTGACATGACAATTTATTGTGCAGAAGAGGCTACTGCAGATTAAAGCATACATGTAGATGCGCCAATGGTAGTTTTTCACACCAATCTAGAGCTACATGCCTGCAGCCCACTGTGCAGGGTGTGGGAGCAGAGCTCCATAGTTTAACGTGGGGGGGAAAGCTTTCCCTCACAAGGCTTGAGTGCCCTGAGCTCTGGCCATGATGGTGGGGCTTCCCATGGCCAGAACCCTAGCAGCATGGTAGAGAAAGCGCACCCCCATCACAGCCAGGGGCCCAGCTCACCATGGCCAGAAGCCCAACTAGGTCTCCGCTCTAGCTGCTCACAGGTAAAGCCCCTGCACTGCACCTAGGACCCAGTTTCAAAAGGTGTCAGAGAGAGTTGTGAGGTGGTAGAAGTGGTCCCTTGAGACCAGCAGCTAATTAGTCCTGACTGGTGTCCTGGCCTGCTGTTACCTGTTTCTAGGCAGGAGGGAAATCTACAAAGCATGCTGGGATGCATGCTCTGGACCCCACCTCCCCCCGGACTGGATGCTGTTAGCAGTGCAGGGTGTCTGTGGAGCACACAGGCCACTTCTAACTAATTTCAAATAGCTTAAACTAAGTGGCTGAACTTCAACTGGTTGAATTGAATGCTTGTATACATCCTTAGTGTGATGTCGCTATACAACACAGCTAATGAGCTGGGATGTGCTGTTCACGTGTATGCCCTCAGCAGACACAACAGGACATTGATGGGTGCTGTGGGAATGTTCTAAAGTTGGGTAGGTGGGAGGGGATGGCTGATCCAAGACCAATGTTTCAAATTCAGGACCTAAGTCCCATATCAGGAACTTTTGGGGGGCGCTAGACCCAGCCCTGAAATTCAAGCCCACGCTACAAAATTAGGAACAGTTGGTTACTTAGTCAAAGGTTCTGTGATCTTCCTGCAGTGGGTATAAATGCATGTGAAAAAGGGTTTGAACAAATTGTCTGGACCTATTTTAACAGTCTGCATCTTATTCCTTTCATGTTACTTTGTTTGGAAAGCTACAGTTCCTTCATCACTTTTTGTATTAGGTTCAAGGAGTCTCATCTCACCTGGATCCAAAGGGCAAGAGCAGCAGCCAGGTTCTTAAAAAGTCCTGAATCCTCCCCCC